TTGATAGAGAAATGATAAAGCAGATAGGCTTGAAGATTTACTGAGATCAGACAAATAAGCATCGTAAAGGGAGTAGGCTACAGGACTTGGGAGAAACACATTAAAAATAATCCTCTAGCTAACTGTATCTTAGCTATTTGGATGAATACCTGTGAAATGTAAGACTGACTGCCTGCTTTCAGCACATGGATATGTTTTAATCCATCTGTATAATCTATTTCGGTAATTCAAGTATACTAGAAGAAAGAAAATGCTTAAACCAAGGAAGTTTTCAGATAGCAAGAATAGTACACTTCTTGTAATTTCCTTTTGAAATTAAACACAATTTATTCAATAAGTAAAATACTGGAAGTTAAAAGTTACTTGGCTGTTACTTGAGTAAACACTGCTGAGCTAATTCTGTTAGTTCTCTCATTGGTATGAAAATCAGCTTGCATAAACAGAAGTACCAATAGTTAAGATGCTAAACTCCTACTAATTTCAATTGGAATGATGTACCTTCAAGTAGCTCAGACAAGCCTTTTTCAAATCTACTTCTCTCTTTATCTTCAGCTACAGTTGCAGTCTCAATATAGTGGAATGAAAGAGAAAATACAGTATATGGGTAAGAAAGTCAGCTAAAAGAAAAGAGGAATTACTAGCGCACCAAATTATACCATTCCTGACATTGGATTTCTGGTCCTGCTACTAGTACTTGCAGAGGACACTGACAAACTGAGAAGAGTTTACAAAAAAAAAAAAAAAAATTAGCAACATTCAATCTTTCAAAAAATGTATCTTCCAGTAAGGAACTGAAGACAATCTCATTAGCTTAACAATGAAAAAGCTAAGAGGTGATTGATAGCAAATGACCATTTAAATTATCACAAAAAAAAAAAATCAGTAGCTGGAAGCATAATTTTTTTAATAACAAACTAATAGACTAATAGGACACTATTCCTCAGGAGGTTATAGATTCTTTGTAATTCTGAATCTTAAAATATACATGCACACCAAATATAAATTGTTGGTGTTGATGTGGGAGTTGCTTGGTGAATTTTGGTTGTGCATGTTTTATGGAGGAAGTCAGACTAGATGATCGAGTTTGCCTTGGCAGCAGACATGATATTTCTACTATGTGTGGGAGATGCAGTGGAGGAGATAAGGTTAAAAAAAAATAGAGGGAAGGAAAGAAATAGGAGCTGTCTGGTTGTCTTCTTTGCATAGTGAATGTAAGGTGCAAACCTTGTGCAGTACTATGTTTTATACTTGAGTAAATGGTAGATGGGACAGATTATAGGATGGCATTCAGGCACAAGTTCTGCCACGTGGCAGGAGAGTCTGCAAGTCCACTAAAAAGACACCTGCGGATGTTAAAGTCTGCTGCCATTTCATAATCTGAGCTGGATTGTCAGATGCAGGCCTTTTTTGGGTACAGCCAAATCATACAGAACATGATTTCTACCATACAGTCTATAAACATTTCAGAAAAATTCTTATCTTGGTAATCTTGAGCTACTACATTCATTTTGTTACTTGCTATTGCAGAAAATCATTCAAAGATAGTAATCAACAAAATAAGTAAATGTGGATGCCAAACTATGTTAAGTCTCAATAAAAATTAAATGAACATTAGGATTATGAGATCTCATAATTTGTTAAAATGTGCACCCTTGCCTTCCCAGGCATAGTTAGTGCAAACACCCAAAGGAAAAAATAACACACTGATCACTGACCATTTCTCTATTGTTATCTGCATTATACTGCAGCCTCAGAACTCTAATGAAAGTTCAGGAACCCCTGTGCTCACTGCTGTGCTCCCTATTAGCAGCAATCCCCGTGCAAAATGGCCCTGGGTTTGCACAGGCAGTGTTTCAGGGAAAAAAAAAAAAAAAAAAAAAAAAAAAAAAAGGAAAGGTTCGCTCTCTGAAATAGAGCTTAAGAGAACTGACTGCATTCTTGCTGGGTGCCAGAAAGTGACTTGGAATCTTTGGCCATTGGTGTAGGGAAGAAGAACACGTAGGCAGCAGTTTGGAAAACATTTGAAGGGTTTTAAAAAAGTTTTAGTTATTGCATGTAGTAATTTTGATTTCCCACTAGCATTTAAGGAATGATTACCAAATTTTAGAAAGCCAAACTGCAGTCTTCGGAATTTATTAACTCATAAAAACCTACCAAAGTGCAATACCAAGATACCAGCAACACCCACAAGAACCCCTAACCCTGTGAGTCAGTGCGAGAGGCTTCCAGCACCACGTTGGTAAGCAGTCTTGCCTTTAAATGTTTGTCCGTTTTTTTTTTTTAGAATCGGATCCTCCAATAACTCCTAAAACAGTAATATCTCAACCATATTCCTCTATTTCAGTATGAGGCACGTTTGAAAGAATTAATATCCAAAATAATATGCTGACATAATAAACACTAGAGGAGCAGTACCTCCCAGGTTTATCTATAAAGTAACAGTCAGTCTAAGTTACTGAATACTCCAGTGTGTATATAAATACATTACTGTAAGTGCTGTGAATCTTCAGCCTTGTGAGAAATCTTCCTAACAGAGAGATGAACCCTCCACCCTCAGGGAAAAGCTGTAAATCCAGCCACAAAATGGCTGCCCCGGCCATTTTGCAGGGCAGGCTGGATCATTGCTGAGGCCAGCACCACTCTGGGCCTGCACAGATACAGAGGGTGATCCACTGCCTGCCTTCCCGTCAGCTCAGGGTCCATGGCCAGCACGGGCAGCCCACATCAAGGATTTGTAGAGCAGAGGGCTGCATGTCTGCTCTCTGCCCAGAGTGGAGCAGGATCCCCAAAATTGTTGAAAATGTTAACCCAGCTAAATGCTAGTGGCAAATAATTGTTCCGTGGCAAATACTTAATCACATCACAAGCAGAAGCTACTTGTGCTGGAGAAAGGTGCAGAAAGTCATTTCACATCTCCTCACTCCCACATTACTGCTATTAAACCTGTTTTACAAATCATCCTCTGTTCAGCCGTGTGGATACTGGAGCTATCCTGCCATTCTTGGGAAGACAATGATTAAGAAGTTCATGTGGAAGACGGTAACCATTAAGCAAATATATTATCCCTGACTTTTCTTAACAGGGCTGAGGGAGGGGACACAGATTCTGTTAAAACTTACAGTTAGGGACAATTTAAATGCGTTTAATTTTCAAGGTGAAGAACTACCACGGAGACACATAATGACAAGAAGTGGAAGCCTAGCTGATTCAAACTTCTGGAAGAAGGGAGCTAGCATCCTGTAGGACCTTATACTACAGCCGTAGAAGGACTAAAACAAAGAGATGGTCATTATGGAGGATGAGAAGGTGAGAGGGGGCAGCTGCCCAGTGTAATGGCCTGTAACTAGGAATATTGCAGTTCTATCTCACAGAATAACCTCTGGCAGAAAAACAATTAGCTCATCCAATTCTACCGTGTACACATAAAATTTAGAAGGAGAGAGACTTAGAAATCACAGGAGGATCCCACAAGCAAACTTGTTTCTATGCACAAAGTTGTTTCCTTCACATCAAAGGCATTTTGTAGAGAGTGCAGAATAGACAGTGAACCATGAAGACCGTTCCACTGCTAACTGTCTCACTGGTGTGAAAATCAGTATATAAATCGGATAAAAAGAATTTACTTATTTATGCATTGAAGATACTCTCTTCATCTGATTTACCTTCATCTGATGGAGGTGCCTTCTGAAAAGGGAAGCATTATGAAGAAATGCATTCTGCTAGGAAAGGCTTGAGCTGGAAATTAAATCCTGTGCTAAACTTTTCAAGAAGTATCTACCTTCACTGAACTCTTTTCATGGTCCTGCTTATTTCTACTTTAAACTTCTCGTTTATTGTACTTTAAGCTCCATCAGTGAATGTAAATGGGGTTTCACTATACGTTTAGTGCATTCAAGCATTCTTTGTTACAGTTCCCACCCTGGCGCATTATGTGAGCTCTGCCACGGAAGTCCAGCAGTCGGTTTGTTTTCTGCTATTAATAAAAGAACCTACTTTTCGCCACTTCTTTGAAGAAGTTGAAAGGGCTACATGTTAGAGGGGGAGGTGGTGGGGAACAGACTGTGGTGTAATCCCCAAACGCAAATGCTGTCTAGATTAGAAACCTCCCAGAAGAAAATCTACAAATGCTAAGACTGTGCTTTTTGTGTGATGAACAGTAGAGCAATAACTTAGCCACATACTGGGTTCTGCCTAATGCTTAAGGAGCCTACTAGCAGAAAGGAATTAAATGAAAAAAAAATCTTCCAATTGGCTCTGTGCCGATGCTAGCCAACCCTTTCAGTACCCAGTGACTTACTAGTGGAACTATTTTCATTTGTATTTCATCACTAATGTTTCTTAATATAATACTTCAGATTCTGTTAAAATAAATAAATGCAAGAAAAAAAAACAACACAAAATAAAACAAAAAAAGCAACAACCCGCCAAATGGGATTTACACATTGCCAGTGTTTTTACAGTCCAGGAAAAGCTTAATTAAAGGGGTGGTACATGTCTCTGCTGAATAGCTGTTTTTCCTTCATACCTTCCCATGCACAACACGCACACATCCAAGAAAAGAGGCTGGGGGTGGGGGTGGTGCAAGAAAATGTCCCCAAAACCATTGCCCAAATTACCAGCCTTAAACCGCTCAGTACAATCTTGCAGGATTGCATGGCCACTTAAATAAATATGTGTCCCTAGCAGAAAATCAGAACCTGCTCATAACAACTCAAAAGTAGAAGAAAAGTACAGAATATTATCTGTCTTTTCCTCTGTGTTATTCAAGTGATCATTTTCTTATCTAGTTTACCATGCAATTACTAAGTAATCCTTAATTCCTAAATAAGCAAGAACAGGAGTAACGATAGCAATCCCAAAAGCCAACCAGATAAACTTTATTGTATAATCAACTGGATGATTCTCTGATTTATTTTAAATCCTACTTATTAGATTAAAAATGTTTATAAAGATAAAATAATTTCAGCATTGTTGATCTTAACAATCATATGTTCACTTACTCTCATAGGATTCCAGTCGACCCACCTGTTGTAACTCAGGCACTGTAAGCAAAACATAGCTTAGCACAAAAATTAATACAGTTACGTGCCATTAAGAATATAACTCATCGGGTAAGAATAACTCTGATGGTGCTGGGGGGTGGAATGATGTAGCACTCAACAAACTCTGAAGATGACCTATGGTAAGTATCAGGGAAGGCAAAATGAGGTGATGAACATTTTATTTACATGGGGTAAAAATACTTGAACAGAAAAAAAAAAAAAAAAATCTATTTTGTGAGTGACACAGCTCCAGCTGGCATTTTTATAGGATTCCAGATATTTTTTCTGTTACACATCTCTGTATGACTACCTAGTTAGCCTAGACAGTGGATCTTTCTTTTTCCTTTATTTTTTTTTTCTTTCTCTTTTGTGCACCACAGAGGTTCCTGCGCAGAGATGGCTGCATTTCGGTGTAAAATTAACTATCCAGTCAAGAATTGAGCATAATCATCATATGGGCAAATCAAAATGATGGCTACAATTGCTGCCTACAGAAATTTTTGCTGCAGTGCATATTAACACACCAAAAAAAAATAAATTTGTGTTAGCTAATAGTGAATGTGCTGATTTTCATTACCCATGGAAATGTGTAACATCTTATGTTAAATTTCATTGACATTTTTCATCAAGTGTGTAGAGCAATGCTCTGAAATGTGATAATTGTAGACTCTTGTTGTACAACTTTGAGTAAAATATTCGTTCCTCTAATTCCAGCAGTAATTAACTTGGATTGGAATTCCCCTGACTCATGTAACAGTCTTCAACATTATATTAATGGCTCCTAGTGTTTATATAGTTTGAATAGAAATTCTGTCCCATAAACGTAATATTTTATTAAGGCACTAAAAATTTTCTGGTTAAAGAAAAGTATTGATTGAATCACCCTAGCCTGAGCTGTAAAGGATTTTTCTGGCTTAGGTTTAAAATGAAACAGTATCTTGTTAAAACTTGAAATGCTTGAGAGATGAAGTTCTGGAAAATTGTTGCATCTCTCATGAAGACTAAAAATTAAAGTAGACAATTATCATAATAATAACCCAGTTGTACATGGCAGACAAAAGAGAAGCTAATACTTCTTTCTCTTTTTTGACTGATGTTTTGTTGGGCTGCAGCTAAACAGCACTTTAAGTTGACAGTAAATTAGCAAACAATATGAGGGAGGAAAAAAGAAAGAAAATCATGCAGGGGTTAAGATGTTTATGTAAAACAGTGATTTTCCTTTTTAAAATTAAAACGTACAAATAAGCTGGTGTCAGAGACTAGGTGATCCTTCATTTCCACTGCATTGAGCAGGCTCACATCAGCAGCAGACAGCCGTTAATATATGCGTCTGGCTCAGTCTGGTCTACCAACTAGGAATTCATCGAATTGTTAATATCATTCCTTTTTTGTATGCACCACACATCATTTTCACTCTCTCTCTCCCTCTCTCCCCCTCACGCTCTCTCCCCTTTGCAAGAGCTTGTGTTTTGGTTTTTTGTTTTTGTTGTAGCACAAGCTGATTACTCTGAAATCACATATTAAGTAGCATTTAGAAGCATTTTGTACTGGAAGAGCAAAAAGTCATATAGAAACGGGAGTATATTAAAATTCTGCACATATAGCCTACCAGTGATGTTTCCATTTATTTGCACTAATAGATACAGCTTTCATACACTGATTAAGTGTAAATAAGACAGCTTTTTGTGAGGTGTCTGCAGGCACTGTCACATAGTCGTGGGCTGGGGAAATGCTGTGGTAATCACGGTGGCAATTCTGCCCCATCAAAGGCTCGGTTTCTTCCTCCCTTCCATCCACCTCTGCCCCATCACAAGGATTTTAATGTACACTACAGGTTGGTTTTTCTATGTTGAATCTGGGGAAAAAGAGGGAGGAGGTAAAAAGGAAGGCAGCGCACCAACTTCTTCATCTCTATGGCAAGGGGCAGCAGTGAGTACTATGGGCAGAGAGGAGGCACCAGAGCTATCCCAGTTCAAGCAGTGATGCAGAGGCAGTACTGTGTATTCACAGCTTTTGCTGTAGCTCCAAACAAGACAGGTAGGAGTTTCTCATGGTTCATTTCATTTTCATTCTCACTGCAGAGAAAAAAGTACTTGAAATCTTCACACTGATAGAAATGGACATTTCATACTATAGTTTCACATGCCTTATACACAGAATATTAAACCAAAACGAATACCGAATATGAACTATGAACATTCACGTAAATTTTGCTGACTCAAAAATAAATGCAATCCACAGTCTTTCATATGGTACAGATGTGTGCACGGTATCTCTGACTAAATATATTAGGATTTTTATTTTGATAAATTACATGCATAATTTAAACTGTTTACCAACATGCATATACCTACCCACATTATAGTTTTATCTATCTCATTATGTAGCTTGAACGATCAGAATGTATTCACCTGAGCAGTGCCTTAAATGCACCCTTTTCAGGACTGAAAACTATGAGTATTATACATAACACGTCAGCTGCTACCAAACTGCTTCCTTGGCGCAGCACCTACCTGAGTGAATTAGTTTTTCACATACAAATTCACATCAACTTCTCTAATATCATCTGAATAGAAGTCAGTGGTGTTCAATAACACATCTGCGTAAAAAGAAATTACCTCCATGACTGAATTTTTGCAAGTAGCTCTTTTGAGTGTTCTGAGTATGTGCGATTGGCAGTTTATGATGAAAAGAACTGCATCTTTACAGGAACTGTATCATCATTATAATTGGTAAGACAATATTTTTATGACTATTTAAGCACTAATTATACCTTGAGCAACTTGAAAGATATGTACAGCGCATAGTTTCTGTCTCTTAATAAAACAGGACAACAATAAAAAGTATTACACTAACAGATAAGAACAATTTATTTTAACAAAAGTATTGACGCTTACAGTAAAACACAATTCCTCCCACACAAGTGGAAAAAAAACACTGCAGCCAAAATACCACTTCTGAAATGAACAAATAGTTTGGATGCCTGATCTGTATGAAGCCTTTGTCTCAGTGAAGTCTGATGTATCAACAAGGTCCTGCAGCATCTTGGTTTAGGCACAGGAAACAGAGAAAAATGAATTAGAACTAACCCACCTACAAAATGTTAAGAAATACAAATCTAAGTATGCATGACAGATCAGAAGTTTAAGAGCAATGAACGGTGCAGAACAACTCATGCCCCTGTAAATCTTCCTATGCAAAGTCAGTGAAGTACTTAGCATATTGGGGACAACCTAAAACACAGTCTGCTGTTGGCAGTGGGAGAAAAAATGCAAAAGGCTTTGAGTTGAGGCTGAGTTCGATTCTCAGAGTACTGCCAGCTCCATGTAAATTTAAGAGGTACACAGAATGTGATTCTGTGAGTGAAGTGATATTAACGCTGTAGTATGATTTTTACACTAATGTTCTCCATCAGATTAAAATTTAAACTGAGACAATATTTTTAAATGTGATATTGTCCTCACTCAGACAAAGAAAAATAATGGCAACTAACTATAAAACTGGCTTTGTCCCCTATTACAGGAAAAGCTAAGCAACAGTTTTCCTGTAGACTGAAAGCATTGCTCAAAAATCAAAAGAATGAATGCTTTCTAGGCCTCAAACATCAGCATTTGTGCTTTATGTTTTAAAAGTTAATTAAGCGCTGTAGCAATGCAGCTGAAAATACACTTTGTGGTAATTATTTACCAGAAATGTGTGTAATTATAATGTTATGTTATGGTTGAAAACCTTTGGTATATTTTAGTACCTGGTGGGTTGGTGCTTTTTCTTTTTTTCCCTTTGTTTGTTTGTTTTTTATTTTTTTGTTGTTATTCTCTTGGTTCTTTTTTGAGATATGAACTGGCATTCAGTTTAAATTTTAATACTAAATGTTACATGGCATCTAGTCCAGTTTTCTAAACACAAAAAGCTAGCATGCTAAAGCTGCACGAAGGATAACAGCTTTTTTTCTTTTAGGAACAGGTCTGCTGCTTAACATTTGGTATATTTTCCAATATATTAAGAAAGGTGTATTCTCCTTTTTCCCTTCCAGACAAAGAAAGCTCCTTTGGCTCTCTAAATTCTGCAGAGAAACAATCATAGTCCAAAGCTGCTGGTTCCCCTCCGCCTAGGTCCCAAGAGCCTGACTTGTGATTGTTGCTACAAAACCTCACAAGTTAGGGTCTCAGGGACTAGGAAAAGTCTGATATGATCCAGTAGAATTCGTCTTCCAATAATCTGAATTGCTTAGTAGTCATAATTGCTGTCAGTAAAACTTTCACTGCTATTGTAAAAAAAAACAAAACAAAAAAACAACAAACAAAAACAACACACAGCAACACCAAACCAAAACCAAAACAAAAAGCAACCACCCCCCCGCTCCCCCCAACCCAATCAGCAACCCCTCCTCCCACCCACACAAGGCACTTTCACGTAGGGGGCAGAAAAGATCAAATAAGCAGGCAAGACACATACATACATTCAAGACAATGTATCAGCTGACTGAACAGACTTTCCTTACAGTCCTTAACTTTTGAAAGCAAAAAGAAAGAGCACAGCAAAAATCTTCACTGCTTTCACTCACAAGTAGCCATATTACAATGCGTCGAAAGGAAGCATCTAAAAATGGGTTAAAACCTGCTTCTTCCAGCAGATTCATACAGTAACGATTTGATTCTATTTCCTTTAATGCCTTAAAGAAGGATTAAATGCATGTGAAGGGGTTTCTAATTGCAATATTTCGCCTTTATACTTTCAGTCCTCCTATTCAGGTGGGCCCTAGGTTACAGAGTACTTTAGAGCCCCTCTCGATGCAAGGATAACATCTGGGCGTGTATTCACTTTTTGCCTCTTCCCCACGTTCAACATTTAATCCTTCTACAGACTGTTAGCAAAAGCTTCTTCCTTTCAATGGCAAAGCGAGCTTTCGCTCCATAAACTGTAGAAAACACTGACATGCGGAGATTGTTGTCACTTGCACCAGATTACTGAAAGAACACACAACTTTCAAATACTGTCGATACTGTGAGAAGAAATAATCGGATTTCCCAAACAATTTCTTTCTGAAGCCGAACACTTTTAATGGCACGACCACGATCCCGAATTACTTTCGTATTCATTCTCCTCCGATCTTTAGCCTTGTTTGCAGAAGGAAAAAGAAAATTTCTACTTTAGGGACGGGATCCACGGTGGCTTTTTTTTTTTTTTTTTTTTTTTCTTCCATCAGAGCCCAGAGCAAAAGAAACAGCAGCCATAAAGGTCCTAGCCACTGGAGCAGAATCTGGTATAGAAAACTCAGTGCTCTTCGGGCAGCCGTTCAGCTTTAAAAAGGAAAAAAGAGAAGAAGGGGGGGAAGAATTAGAATCTCTGCTGGTCGAACAGGTGAATCATCCATTTACAAGAAAGCTGCACAGAGAGCGCTGCTGAAGAAAAGATTTGCCAGTGCCCTCCACCCCCACCCTGCCCTTCACTCTCCCCTCCAGAAGGCTACCTCAGATTTCAGAACATTTTGGCTTATTTAAAATATTTCAGTAGATGACAGAATGCAATATTACATAAGAGCCGTTCCTTTGTCACTGTGCAGCATTCAATCAGTTATGCCTCAGACACAAAATAGTTAAACGAAACAAGATATATATATATATATATATATATATATGAGAGATATATATGTATAGCAGTCCCTGCATTTCATTCCATTTCTTTCTTTCTTGCAAGCTGATCATGATTTAACAAACAATTTTGACCGCAGCTTTCAAATCAATAATTAGAATGAAAAATCTCTCCCCTCTATAAATATGACATTAACATAATTATACCACCCCCATCGCATAGACCCATCCTCTTTAGGGAATTCATCTGATGCTCTGAAGATGGAAATCAGTCAGATTTTAGTTGCTCTCAAACGTACCTTTGCTTCTCACTGACTGACTGGCTTTACCTCCCATGCACACACACACACGGTCACCAACACTCGCACACACACACATCCACATGCGCGCGCACATGCACACACACACACGCACGCACAAAAAGGCAAGGCAAAGCGGCGGATGCTGACTCAGAGCAGTTGTGTGTGGAGGGGGTGGTATCGGCTGGTATTTTCACTGCACTCATCATTAACATTAACTCACTCTCTAGCATCCACCCTCTCTCAGACCTGCTGGACTGCAGCATTTGCATGACGCTGTCACTCTAGCCCTTGTGGGTCAGATGTTAGAAGAAAAAAAAGCCTCAAGGCTCTCATAAGGAATGCCTTCATTTCTTCCAAAGGGTCCCTCTTCTTATTTTTCCACCTTTCTACTTCCTCTGTTGCTGTGTCTCAGTTGTTTGACATCTTTCCGGAAGAAAATGTCTTGAGCTGCAATAAGCCAGTAGTCGGTCGGTCCTCCCCTCACCTCACACTCCTATTCCCACCCCCTTTTTTTCCTAATCAATAAGACGGATCTCCAAATGCAGTTGTGAAAACAGGCTCTGACACACAGACTTTCATCCTCAATCCTCTGCCTCAGGAATAGCAGGCAATCCAGCTCACACGTGATGCAAGGAGAAATAATGCCAGTAATTCTTGAACAGACTTAGTTTATTCTACGCCTTCTTCATTTTTTCCTTTGCTTGAATAAATACTAGTGGGAAGGGCACAACAGCTCTCGGCAGCTAAAGGATTCTTTTCTTCACAGAGCCATGATCATTAAAAAGACTAATATTAATCTTCCTTAAAATTAATGCTATCTCCCCTCCTCATTGTGCTCTTTATAAGTAGGAATTGTCTCATAGCCAAAACACTGCCAGAGTCTGAATCACCATTCACTGTGCTGAAATTGTACGTTCCCAGACTCTGGTTGGTATTTAACTGGACTAAGCAATTCTTTTTTCTTGTTCTTTTTTTTTATTATTATTATTTCAGACTTTTTAATTAAAAATAATAATAATAGTAATGAGAAAGAAGTAGAAGCTGCATGTGTCCGAGCGAGCACTGTGAGAGAACAATGGCACTGCATACACATGGTACGGTACAAAATACTGAAAATGCGTGAGAAAATACTCGTGTATTTATCTGCATGTTATTTGCCATCTTGGTAGAGCAGTCTGTGGG